GGTATCTATCGGGTAAGAGTCTAATGTCGTAACCTACTGGGCTAACTCCTATCACGATAGTGACAGGAGCAGCTCTCCTATATGAAGAGCTCGCCCATTCAGTTTTCCCCCATACCGTGACCTTGCAGGCTTTGCCTGCCCGTAGCCTTGCAGGCCCAGCCTGCCTGCGGCCCTGCAGGCCTCGCCTGCTTGTGGCCCTACATGCTCAGCCGACCGCGTGGCCTCGACGTCAACCTTTCAACCCCCTGGCTCAGTGTCAGCCCCGCGCGACCCTAGAATTAAAACCCTTCTTCCTATTCCCCCTACGCGCAACATCATTTTAGGTAGACTAGGTGTAGCTCTAGTCTTTCCATGACTGCACACCATTGCGGCCTAGTCCGGAACCACGGACGATAGGTCGTACTGTCGACTCCCGTTGTTTCGAACGAACGTCGATGACGTCATACGTCCTTGACGTCAGTCTTTAGGTTTTTCAGTTATCGGATTGGTCTGAAGGAACTTTGGCAACGTCAATCTCACCATGTTCCTCAACGAAAGAGTTTGACAGTATCTGACCTTGAAAAACTCGGGCAGAAACCCTCACAGGGGTTTCTGTCCCGACAGCGAGTTAGAGGCGCTCGGCTATAGGGAGGGTAGGGTCCTCCAGGTGGTAGTGGATGGCCTCGCAGAGGTCGAGGTCGTTGCTATGGTCACCCTCAGCCGACAGCAGGGAAACGGCGTCCTGCTCACCATACTCGAGTTGGCTGAAGCAGCGCGAGAAGTGGTGGCCCTGCTGCACGGAACGGCGGGGACGGCCGCGGAAAGGGGAACGGCGCTGGGAAGTGTCATGAGAGGAGGAGGGAGCGTAACCAGTACGCTGCGGCTGGGAGGCGGAGGCGGGGTGAAGACGGGCCCCCATCCGCTGATGGTTCCTGGTGGCCTCATAAGCCTGCTGGACCGATGTGAACTTGTACCGCCATAACTCGGAGCGGTACTTAAGGGGAAGGTTGGCCAAGAAACGATCGATGAGGGAAGGCTCGGGGAGGAACGCCACATCACAAATCAGGCGGGCGTCCTGAAAGACTTGGATGTGGCGGTTCAGGGCGGCATCGCCACCACAGTCAGACCAGCGTATGCTGACGACACGCTCGAAGGCGTTAGTGACGTCATGTCGGGCTCCGAAGCGATCCTCTAGGAACGCATGAAAATCCATGAAGGTCAGGGTCCGACCCTCACGAAGGGAGTGGGCGTAGAAATCCTCCAAGGCGTTGAAAGGACCGCCATGCAGGCGCATGGAGAGGTGAGTCACCCACGTGTGGGGTGGGGCGCCCATGAGCTGGAGCGTGCGGGTAGCAGACTGCAGCCACCGAAACATGCGTATCCCTGTACCGTCGTACAAGGCAATGTCTGTCAAGCAAACGAGTGGCGCGCCACCGTTTTGGCGGCGAGGGGGTCGAGGAGCAGAGGTTTGTGCTATGGCTAAGTAGGTCGGCACAGGTCCCGGAGAAGGGGGCGTAGCTGACTGTACGCCTGGGCCGCATGGGGAAGCGGAGGGGGCAACAGCGGCAGGCTGCGAGGGAGTTGCGGTAGAAGAGGTCGCAGCAACCTAGGGAATAGGAAGAAGGTAGGATGGGGGTGGATAGGGTGCAGGGCGAGGAAAGCGAGCCTGCATAGAAGGAAGAGTAGAGGAAGAAGGGGGTGTGCCCGAAGGCGCGGCCACCTATGAGGGTAGGGGTGGCTGCAGGCGTAAGAGGGCGAGGTCAGCCCGGGTCTGGGCAAGCTCGTCCTCAAGACGTTGAACGTAGAGTGAGCGAGGGGTGGCAGGAATAGACGCACGAGCGGCGTGAGGCATCCCACAAGGGGGACAGCCAAGTGGCTCTGCGGTTGTGCGAATGGGAGAGAGAAGCGGGGCACCCAGAAATATTGAGACCACGGTAGCGGGTTGTGGTCTCGTGGCCGTAGTGATCGGAATCTGGGCGGGTGCCCGTAGAGTGAGGGAAGGTCTGGCCCGTGGCGGTCGTCGCGCTAGGAGCGTGGACGGTCACCAGGATGGTCGGGTCGGGGGCAGTAGAGCAGGAAGCTCCGCCGTGACCACCATGTTGAAGGACAGGGGACTCGGACTGGGAGCCAGGGAAAGAGAGAGAGTGAGGAGAGGAAGGACGGCCAGCGTCCTGGAGTTGCCGCATGCCAGCGGCAAAAGTCACCACCTACGCCTTTAAGGGCGCAAGGAGGGAGGTGAGGAGGGTGTGCAGATCCCGCTAGGGCTGAAGGCCCTGGTCCGCCGGCACAGGTATGGAGCCCGGTGCCGAGGTTATCACCGCGTTCGCGGCTTGTAACACGTCGTCGGCCATGGGGAGGTGACGGGTCGGACAGGAGGGGGCCAGAGGAGGTCCGCGTGAGCGAAGTGTAGGGGGGGTCCGCGGTAGAAAGTGACGGGCGACGCTAGTGAGTCGAGCGTGGGCGCCCGCAAAGGGGGAAGGGTGGTTCGGGTCCAGGGTGCCCGAATGGAAAGGGGGAGTAAATGGAGGTTATGAAAACCCGAAACCCTTGAAAAACCCTAAGAAAACCCTAACCGGGGTTTGAGTGGTTAGGGTAGGGTACCGGTGACCTAATCAAGAAAATAAAATAGCAAGCATGGGGGGGAGGCGGGAGGAAAAA